CAATTTCTATAACCATTCTTCGTATGTTTTAGCCTCCAGCCCCCTAATCTTTCTTGTTGCTCTTCTCTGCACTCTTTCCAGAATTTTAACTTCTCTTTTATATTGTGGTGACAGAACTGGATGCAGTATGGTCTTACTAAGGCTTTGTAAAGCGGTACTAGAACGTCAACATGATCTTGATTCTATCCTTCTATTAATGCAGCCTAGAATTTCATTGGTTTTTTTGGCTGCCGGGACATACTGTTGGCTCATAGTTAAGCGATTGTCTACTAGGACTCCAAGATACCCCTCACAATTACTGGCATAAAGTCAAGTTTCACCTAGTCTGTACTTACATAGTTGCTTTTTCTTGCCTAAGTGTAAAACTTTATCTATGTTGAATTTAATTTTGTTAGATACGGGCCAGTGTTGAAGTCTGTCAAAATCTTTTTGGATCTTGAGCTTGACTTCTGGTGTGTTGGTTATTCCTGACAGTTTAGTGTCATCTGCAAATTTGATGAGATCCCCTTCTATTCCCTCATCTAGATCGTTTTATGTTAGGTGGATGCTTATCCACCTTAACATTTGGTAAAATGGAACCTGGATTGTGACATTATTGCACTGTATATTCTCCTGCCTCCTCACTGTCACCCAAGTTGTAGGGATTATAGAACACAATGTCCTCACTTCAGGTGTTACTGCTATACTAGATGATACCAGAAATATGGGAGGGAAGAGAATTAGAGCAGTCCTGCTCTCAGCTCTGTAATGATTAGATCGTAAGTCTGGTTTAGCATCTTTCAAACTTCATTTTATATTCCTCTTGCATGAGCAGGCAGGATTAAAATTTATTAAATAAACAAACAAGCTAATCTATTCCACATATTTAGGAAATTGTGGCTCATAGGGCTACATTGCAAGGCATCTATTTATCTTGCCTAACCAATATAATTATAATCCACAGTTGGCTTTTCTTTTACTAAATTTTGAGAACAAAATTTCTTTTCCAAGAGGACACTTCCCGTGATCAGTGATCAGATATCCAGAATAAGAGAGAGCATGTTCATCGAGACAAACGTGTTCATATTTTCCATCATACTTCTCTTTATAGTGGGATTTTGCAAAACTTATAGGAACCAAGTTGCTGCTACATAATATTCCTTTGTACATTTTGCTAACAGATTTTTTTTCTGAATATCACCTTATGCTTGTGTTCATGTTTTAATATTAAAAGATAACAATTACAAGGTTCAAAACAAGTTATGTATCTTATTATTGAAGTTAGTATTTGTTCTCAACTTTTTGTTTTCTAAAATTAACCCATGTAGACACATTAAAAAGTCTTAGCACAGGTATGCCTTTTAAATTTCAATCTGTATTGCCAGATATTGGGAGTTGTGGTAGAGCATGTTGATTTAGTTTATTGTATTCGACTGGGATAAATACGGAAAATGGGACTGTTACTGTCTGTGCCTTTGAGTTGGGAGCAGCAAGGGGGGGGGGGATATGGAGAGAATGAAAGCAAATTTTCAGTTTTGCTGGAAAGCTCCAAGGCCTAGGCAAAATTGTGTTTAGGGCGTTAGGACATTAGTAGAAAAGTAAATTGAGGCAATCTGATAGGGAAGCAAAATTCTGTCAATCAGGCTCAAGATACTATGCTGTGTCCATATACTTTGTTTACTGTAGGGTTTTATGAGTTGTAACCTGCCCATGCAAGCTGTTAATGAGGCTAAATCTTGCTGCTAGAGGATTGAATTACAGCACACCTCTGGGCTAATGGTTATAAACAGAAAGTCCCATTAGGGCTGCTTTCTGATTCATCCATTTGCATTTTTCCTATTGTATCAAAAACAATGATGAGTAAATAGCTACAAACAAACAATTTACATGGAAATGGATAAAATGTGCCTAATTAGTATTTTGTGCTTGTTTTATTAATGATTGTTTAAGCTAAATAGAACTCTGTTGCAGGACTCTTTACCAGCAGTGCCAACTGTGGCTAATTCAGTTTCTTACCATACTTGGGGGGAGGGAAAGGAATCCTAGCACTGTTATTGGGGTCCTAAAGAAATTCATTTAAAGTATTTTAGGATGCAAGTTAATTGTAATTTTATTTACTACTTCAGCTTTTGGGGGATAATACTCACTGAAAACTCTAGCTATTTGTTATGCTCAAGATATATTTTCATAGTGCATAGTACTTTACAGTATAATTATCTGACATTTAATTTCTAGTTAAAATTTGTAATTTTGGTGGTTAGATGGTGCTGATCAGTTTTCCTGTTGCTTAACTGCAGTGACAAGATTGTCTATTTCTCCTTTCCCTGCTCTTCTTTAGACCCACAACTCATCCTTTCCTGCAATCCTGCTTTTGTGCTTGTCATGGTATTACATCAGAACAATCTTTCTACAATCTAACATATCTTTCTACAAACACATACTGTGACTTCTTAGATAATTAAGATCATATTTTTTATAATTTTGAAGAAAACTGAAACTACAACAAAATGAAACAAATGTGTCTCCTTTTGAAATAAAAACACAAATATTCATAGTTACACTCTTGCTGATCTGATTTGGTTAAATCCAAAACATCTATTTCTTTATCACTCCTTCTCCTTAGTTTTGGCTTTTTTAAGCAAAACCACATTGTATATCATTGTTTTCTTGAGAGCATGATATTTCTACTATGTAAATTATACCAAAGAAACATGTAAATTTATTTATTCATTAGATTTATATGGCTGCCCAACTTACATACAATGACTTTGAGTACATGAATATTGTAGACATGTATATTAATACATTTGAATATTAATTCTTCATCTTCCAGGAATAACAGAGTGCAATATGGGTGGATAGAAGAAACACAATTTTGTCAAGAAAGAAAACTTCTTGCATACTAAAACAGACAATTAAACACTGTAAAGTTCACTGACAATAAGAATTAGTAAGAATTGAAATGGAAAATATTGTTACTAATGAGTTCTAGTGGTAGTAGCTAGCAAGAATTATTGGGGGAGATTTTATTTTAATAATTGGGTTAAATTGTTTGTGATCTAAGTTTTCAGTCGAGCAATGTATGGGAAGTCTTTCATTTGTTCAAAAGGTTAGCATGTTTACTGCCATATTCTTGTTTGTATTACTTCATTTCTTCTTAATTGTAGAGCTATTTTGAATATAACATTCAGTATGAAGAATACTTAAAAATGGAAAAATCATGGCAATCACCTAGGGCAGCCTGAGCCACGTAATGAGACTTTTTTTTTTTTTTTTTTACTTCTGTGTAGTGAATAGCCACAATGTAGGGAAGAAGCTTATCTTTTTGCTTGGCAAGGATAAAGTCGTCATTGCTCCCAGATTTTGAACTGAAGTCACAAACAGCTCAATTCTCCACTCAGCTTTAGTAGCAGACTGTAGTTAAATACACAAACATACAGATACAGACAGAGAATAAAATAATTTGGAAAATAAAGATTTCAGTTTAGCATATTTTCAGCTCCTTGTAGTACTATTCAGATAGTAAGACCCTTAATTCTTAAGGCTTCTGTCATTCACATTCTTTCTTGGAGTTCCAATAAATTGAACAGCATTTAAGCAGAATTCTGTCTTTGAAAATCAGCTCAAAAGCTACAGCTGATCTGGAATGTAACAACTTAATAGCCAAACACACTATTGCAGTAAAATACTGCACTGATATTTAATTCAAGAACATATTCAATGTGCTAGTTATTGCTTATAAAGCCTTATATAGAACAATGCTGGGCTGTATCTGGCACCATCTACTAGGGGAGAGAGAGGGGGGAAGGGGGAGGGAGGGAGGGGGAGAGAGAGTGGGAGAGAGAGAGAGAGAGAGAGGGAGGGGGAGAGAGAGAGAGAGAGAGAGAGAGAGAGAGAGAGAGAGAGAGAGAGATTACAAGCCAGGGTGTTGGTCAGAAGGCCGGCTTTCTCAGCCATGGCCCTGAAATTATGGAATATGCTGCTGCCCCCTGAGGTGTGCTCGGTCAGACTGCTCATTGTATTCCAAAAGATGCTGAATGCTCAGCAAGCATTCATATCAATCCAATTGAAATTGGGTGCCCATTTAAGGTGGTTTTCATTTACTTTGGCTAGGGGAGGGGGGAGGTACTGTGTCAGGGGAATGTTTTAATTTCACATTGATGATTGGCCTTATGTTCAAGTTTTTACTTTGAAAACAGTCTCAAGTCTATTCCAATGTGGGGTAAAAGAAATGCCTGAATAACACTTACATAGCATAAACCGGTTTTGTGTAAAATTGTCCATGCTACTTTTCAGGTTTCTTTCGAACTACTCTGGGATGAGATACATCATACACTTTTATTATTTGACTAAGTCATTATATCAGTGATGGTTGAAAGAGAATCAGCTTTGTTTATCTGACAAAGAAGAATGTTGTGCTATATAAATTTATCAAATTAATACACTTTTTATAAAACTTTTATTTTCTTAAATTATTTTACTTAAAACTTTTTTTTCCAAAAATAACATCATACTTAATTTTCCCAGTTTTTATGTGCAAAGGAAATAATTCCTCCTTCCCAAAATAGAAAAACACTATGTATTTCAATTTTATTTCAAAAACAGAGCGTATTTTAATAGATAGTTGAGCCCTCTGAAGGAAATGGAGCTTCTTTCTGGTATTCTGGTAGAAACATAATTACAGGATTTTCATTTGTTATGTGAACTTTCTGAGATTAGCAAAAAAAATTAAACATTTCATGCTAAATTGAAGCCATAAATTATGTCAGTCTCACATTTTATAGCTTTAAAGTAAATTGATTCATTTTTTAAAAAACTGAAATTATTTAGGGGAAAGAGGGCTGATTCATGGATGGCTCTGAAAAGTGTGTTGTTGACATCCAACTGATATGAAGCTTTCTGTGTATAATATGGGCCAAGCACCACCATGCTGTAAACCATTTACTATCATGATGATCAGATTGAGAATGAAATTGCATTTCGGTCAATTACTGAGCTGGCAACTGTTCAATATATCTTAGCAGCAAGATGAAGAGCGGCGTCGGCAGCTGAGAGAGAGAGCTCGTCAGCTAATAGCAGAAGCTCGATCTGGAGTGAAGATGTCAGAACTTTCTAGTTACAATGAAATGGCTGCAGAAAAGTTGAAAGAAAGGTCAAAGGCATCTGGAGGTGAGCTAAGGACTTTGTACCTTATTCCTATGGCAACCCAGAAATCTGAGGAAAACCTTTTTGGAATTTGATTTTATTCAGACTTCAGAGTAATTGATGTTCACCAGGAAAACATGTCAATACATTTTATGCTGTATTTCCTAAGTTTGCATGATCAATACTCTTCTCCTATCTCAGCAGAATATAGTTGCGATATTTGCATTTTCCCTATTGTTTTATGTGAGCATGTATGAGGCATGTAGTAAAATGATCTCTAGAAAGAGTGTGTCAGTGACCCAAGCTTAGACCCAAACAGGTGTACTAATGATTTCACTTACCTGTTTAGCCCACTCTTTCCTGCTCAGCAAATCCCGAAATTCATCTTCACAATAAATTCCATTAGTTTACTATTAAATTTATGGTGATTAGTCCTCTTGAGGTTTCTCTAAAATGCAAAGCTTGGATATACATATTTAGCAAATAAGTATATAACATAATTTTAGGAAATAATAATAATAATAATAATAATAATAATAATAATAATAATAATAATAATAATAATAATAATAATAATAGTAAAGTTGGAAGAGACCTTGGAGGTCATCTAGTCCAACCCCCTGCTCGGGCAGGAAACCTTACACCATTTCGGACAAATGGCTGTCCAGTCTCTTCTTAAAAACTTCCAGTGTTTGAGCATTTACTGCTTCTGGAGGCAAGCTGTTCCACTGATTAATTGTTCTCACTGTCAGGAAGTTTCTCCTTAGTTCTAGGTTGCTTCTCTCCTTGATTAGTTTCCACCCGTTGCTTCTTGTCCTGCCTTCAGGTGCTTTGGAAAATAGCTTAATTCCCTCTTCTTTATGGCAGCCCCTGAGATATTGGAATACTGCTATCATGTCCCCCCTTGTCCTTCTCTTCGTTAAACTAGACATACCCAATTCTCGCAACCGTTCCTTATATGTTTTAGCCTCCAGTCCCCTAATCATCTTTGTTGCTCTTCTCTGTACTCTTTCTAGAGTCTCAACATCTTTTTTACATCGTGGTGACCAAAACTGGATGCAGTATTCCAAGTGTGGCCTTACCAAGGCATTGAAGAGTGGTATTAATACTTCACGTGATCTTGATTCTATCCCTCTGTTAATGCAGCCTAGCACTGTGTTGGCCTTTTTGGCAGCTGCAGCACACTGCTGGCTCATATTTAAGTGATTGTCTACTAGGACTCCGAGGTCCCTCTCACAGTTACTACTATTGAGCATGGTGCCACCTATGCTGTACTTGTGCATTTGGTTTTTCTTGCCTAAATGTAGAACCTTGCTTTTTTCACCATTGAATTTCATTTTGTTAGTTAGTGCCCAGTGTTCAAGTCTGTCCAGATCCTTCTGTATCTTAAGCCTGTCTTCTGGAGTGTTGGCTATTCCTGACAGCTTGATGTCGTCTGCAAATTTGATGAGTTCCCCATCTATCCCTTCATCCAAATCGTTGATGAAGAAGTTGAAGAGTACTGGGCCCAGAACAGAGCCCTGGGGCACCCCACTACACACTTCCCTCCATATAGATGCAGTTCCATTGAGGACCACTCGCTGAGTACGGCCGGTCAGCCAGCTACGGATCCATCTGGTGGTGGTTCTGTCTACCCCACATTTTTCTATCTTGTCAAGTAGTAGGTTGTGATCTACTTTATCAAATGCCTTACTGAAGTCCAAGTAAATTATGTCCACAGCATTCCTCTGATCCAGTAATTTTGTCACTTGGTCAAAGAATGCAATAAGATTTGTCTGGCATGATCTATTTTTGACAAACCCATGTTGGCTTTTAGTAATGACTTTGTTTGCCTCTAGGTGTTCGTTGATTCGTTGTTTGATTATCTTTTCCAGGATCTTCCCAGGTATTGAAGTCAGGCTGATAGGTCTGTAATTTCCTGGATCCATTTTTTTTCCTTTTTTGAGGATGGGAACTACATCAGCTCTTTTCCAGTCCTCTGGTAGTTCCCCTGTGTTCCAGGATCTTTGAAAAATATAGTTCAGTGGCTCCGATATCACATCTGCCAGTTCCTTGAGAACTCTGGGGTGTAATCCATCTGGTCCTGGCGATTTGAACTCATCTAGGCTGGACAGGTGCTCACTAACCATTTTCTTGCCTATCTTAACTTGTGTTTCTGTTTTGTTTTTTATGGCACTATTTTTGATAGGTTGGTCTGTTTTTTCCCTTTGTGTAAAGACAGATGCAAAAAATGAGTTAAATAGTTCTGCTTTCTCCCTGTTGCTTGTCACCTTCTTGCCACTTCCACCCACTAATGGACCAATCATTTCCTTCACTTTTTTCTTGTTTTTTACATGTTGAAAGAAGCTTTTTTTGTTATTTTTGACTTTGGTCGCAAGCCTTAGTTCATTTTGAGCCTTGGCTTTCTTCACTTCATCTTTGCAGGCTCGGGCTATTTGCTGATATTCTGACTTAGTTATGTTCCCCTCTTTCCACTTTCTATACTTGTCCTTTTTATCTTTCAATTTGTCAGAGAGTTCTTTATGCAGCCATGCTGGTTTCTTTTGAGAGCTGTTGTTTTTCCTCTTTGTTGGTATTGTGCTAGACTGTGCTTTTATTATCTCATTTTTCAAAATTTCCCAAGCTTCTTGAGTTGTTTTCCCCTTGAGGATTCTCATCCATGGAATCCTTCCCAAGCCCTCTCTAAGTTTATTGAAATTAGCTCTCTTGAAGTCCAAGACTCTAGTTTGACTGTGTTCTATTGCTTGTGCTTCTATAATGTTGAATTCTAATATTGCATGATCACTTCCTCCCAGGGTTCCTATGGCTTCAACACCGTCTATCATTTCATCTCTGTTAGTGAGAATTAGATCCAAAATGGCTAATCCCCTAGTTCCCTTCTCTACTTTTTGGGAGACAAAGTTGTCTGCTAGGTTTGCCAGGAACCTGTTTGATCTTCCACTTGGTGCGGAGTTTGTCTCCCAGTTGATGTCAGGGTAGTTAAAGTCCCCCATTACTATTGTGATGTGCTCCCTACATACCTTAGTTAGCTGACTAGCAAAAAGTTCATTATTTCCTCTGTTTGGTTGGGTGGTCTGTAGTATACACCTATGGCAATGTCATTCCCCCCCCCTTTTATATTGACCCAAATGCATTCAAGACAGTTTTTATCATTGTTGTACTCTATTTCTGTGGAGATGTAGTTATTTCTTATATAGAGAGCAACTCCACCTCCTCTTTTATTTGGTCTGTTTCTTTTAAATAATTTAAATCCCTCTAGCTGTGTGTTCCATGTGTGGGTTTCATCCCACTATGTTTCCGTAATGGTAGTACTTTTAATATTTTAATGCAATAATGCTTTGTCCTAAATAGGAAATGAATTAGAGTCTTTTGCAGAGATGTAGATCTATGATTCTTTTGATAAGAATTTTGGAATGAAATAATAAAAAGTAGACACAGTAGTTAATTTTAATTGTTTTCATATAGTGAATAGCTTGTCCAAAATATCTGAATTAATTGCAGGGACAAGATCATGCTTGACATAATACTAGCACAGTTTCCAACAAATTGGACAATCAAAACTAAGCAATTATATGCACAAAATATTATTTGATTCTGATCAGATCATCCCACATCAGTAACCTTGGATTGCCTTAATTCCCATCTCTTTTACAATGTTCAGTTCTGTTTCTTTTACAAATATCTGTGCTTATTTCATCCTGTGTTGTCTTTAGTCTTTTTAGCCTTTAGTATTTTTTCCTCTGTATTTTTTTCACATAATTTTATAATGAATAGTTGCTGCCTTAACTTTTATATGGCAATTTTATGCCACCAGTTAAATTGCTGGAAAAAAAGGCAAATATTTATTCCATTGTTCCTATCTCTGGATAAATCCTCACATTCATTGATTTTGTGAGCACACTCGGAGATAATCTTTTATGGGGCATGATCATAAAATATCTTGTGAGTGTTTTCTATTTCATATTGTCCAGATAGTAAGTATCTCCACGAATTTTACTTTTCTTTTTTCTTAAACAAAGCAACAACTGGATAACTTTTATTTACAACAGCACCTCACAGTATGACAGAGGTCCTCCTGGGATGTCAAAAACCGGAATGCCTTCTGGCAAGTGGAAATTTTCAGATTGGTCATGATTACATGGCAGTCATATTCTGAATAAACAGCCATTCTGTGAGAAGACCTTCCATATAGTTTCAGAATTCCAAATGTGCTTCTGGCCCAGCACAATATGTTAAATTGACTTCTCACGTCTGATATAGTGAAGGCTTATTACATTGCACAGTTTTGAGCAAAATTTGTGACTCTTTTTTATTGGCAAGGAAAATTAAGTGATGTTTACTGATTCCTTCTCTCTGGAAACACCTCCCAAATTTATCTGCCCTAGAGAAGCCTCCAGTTTTCTGGAGCATATTTTCCTAAGGACCTAACAGTTGGAAGGAGAAGAGAGAATTGCTGAAAATTGCATTCTTCGTATTCTATTAAATGAAGGCTTCTATTAATTCATTAATGTGTGCCCATTGCCATGAGCAGGGATACAGCCCACCCAACAAATTTCTGGCTCTGGATAATCCCACTTTTCTCCCAAAGAAAGATGCTACAAAGATTAAGCAAAACCAGCTTTTGTCTGCACAGGAAAAGGCAGGGAGACATCTCATCCTGCCTATGTCTGCAGAGAGAAAAGTACATCATGCAGGAGGAGCAAAGTTTGTCTTTCTTATCATGCATGGGCTGACTTTCTCCATAAAGGAGGGGGAAGGAACACGTTCCTTCTGTTTTCTTTCTAAAATTGAAATCAGGTAATGCCACGGGACACCGATTTCTACCAATGGGGCAAAGCTATTGTTCCTCAGTGCTTCTTTCCTGACATATTTCAGTTTGTAAGTCTATGTCTGAACTTGAATGTGATCTTCAAATTATTCAGTTCCCCACCCTTGGCTTTAACCACATTTTTAGAGAAGCTGCCCTAACCCAACAGATTTCCTGATGGTCCTAATTCAGCAGCATCTCATGCATTGCTTTTAAG